GCTATTTTCTCTCTGGGTCTCAGGATGAGTGAGAGTGCACATGCGCCCTTTAAAAGGGGAATCTGAGTTTCCCGTAGCACTTTATTTTTCTAAGCCAGATGTTTTTTGGGCTCATCTTCCTGTTGCAGATCCCAGGGGTTGGGGTGCTTGATGTGGGGCACTAACCCCTTGCTCCTCCAGAAGAAGTGCCAGACTGGTGAGATTCCTCCCTATTGTGTGTCATCACTCCAGGAGTGGGGCTTTTGTTAAGATTGTCTCTCTCCCTTTCCTACCCATCTCAGTGTGGTCCTTTTATTCTTTGTTGTGGAGAAACAGGTCATCTCGTTTTCAGATCTTCACAAAGAAATGATTCAGCTGTAGCTGTAGATTTGGTGTATCTGTGGGAGAAAGTGAGATCAGGGTCTTCCTATGTTGCCATTTTGGACCCCCCCCCCCGATGTCATTACTTTTGTTTGTCTTCTCTAATATCTTTCAGCAATGTTTCCTGGTTTTTAGTTTATAAGTCTTTCACATCCTTGGTTTAAATTTGTTTCAAAGTATTTCATTCTTTTCGAAGCTATTATAAATGAGATTTTTAAAAAAAATCCTTCTGGATTGTTCATTGTTAGCATTTAACAATCAACCAACTTTATATTTTGATTTCATATCCTGGAACTTAGCTAAATATGTTTATTAGTTACAAAAGCTTATTTTTGGCAGGGGATGGGGATCTTTAGGGTTTTCTACATATGAGGTCATGTTATCTGCAAACAGAGGTAATTGAACTTCTTCATTTTCTTTTTGGCTGTCTTTTATTTTTCTTGCCTAATTGCTCTTGCTAGGACTTCTAATACTGTGCTGAACAGAAGAGGTAACAGTGGGCATCCTTTCCTTGTTTCAGCTTTTCACATTCATTGAATGTGATGTTAGTTACAGGCTTTTCATATATGACTATTATTATGTTGAGATAGTTTTCTTCTATTCCTAGTTTGTTGAAGTTTTTATCATGAAAATGTGTTGAATTTTATCAAATGCTTTTTCTGCTTTAATTGAAATGATCATGTAGTTTTTGTCCTTCATTCTGTGAATGCAGTGTATTACATTGATTTTTGTAAGAGAACCTTCTCATATCCCAAGAATAAATCCCACTTTGTCATGGTATATATCCTTTTAATGTGATGTTGAATATGGTTTGCTAGCATTTTGTTAAAATTTTTCACAACAATATTAATCAGGATTATTGGTTTGCAATTTTCTTTTCTTGTATTATCTTTGGCTGTCTTTGATATCAGAGTAATGCTGACCTCATAAAATGAGTTAGGAAGTGTTCTCTCTTCAATTTTTGGAACAGTTTGAGAAATATTGATGTTAATTCGTCTTTAAATGTTTGGTAGGCTTGTCCTATGAGGCTGTCTTGTCCAGTGAGGCTGGGGCTTTTCTCTGTTAGGAAGTTTTTGATTACTGATTCAGTCTCCTTATTAGTATAAAGTTTGCTTAGGTTTTTCATTTCTTCATGACTCAGATTTGGTAGGTTGTTTACTTCCTAGCAATCTATCCATTTTGCTCTATATTCTTAACCACCATCTCTTCCCATCTGGATGTGGATTACTCTTAGGAACCTAACTTTGATTATGTGTTCTCTAGAGCTCTCTTTAGGAAATCTCTGCTGATGGCTTGGTAAGGTTCATCAAAGAAGGCATGCAATCTTGTGAGCACCCACCTCACTCACAAGGGGGCTATAACTCTTAATATAAGAAACTTAATGTTTATCAAAGGCCATCATGGAAGAGCTACCCTTATGGAACAAGAAGGGCTGCTTTTTCAATTTCTACCCTCTTGGACTTCTATAAAGTTAAAGTAGAAAAATTTAGACTTGAATATATAAAATAAATATCTTTAATATCTAAAATGATGATCTTAAATGAATGTTAGAGTAAAAGTCTGAAGTTTCTCCTATATTTAATGAAGATTTATGCTTATATTCTAAATTCCTAAGGAGAAAACATTATAAAAAGCAGATATTCAGTCCAAATACAATAAATAAAGGTTGAGTAGTCACTATACTTATGGAGATTTAAAAAAAAAAACAAACTAGCTTGACTAATAAACCAATTGCCTCATTTTAAAAAGGTAAAAGTTTGGTTGGAGGTGGCCAAATTGGAGTAGCTATAGAATGGTGGTGGTGGATGGAGCATGAAAGTATGGCAAGTTGAGTGAAAAATTACAATCATTAAGAGAAAAATAAGCCAAGATCACTTGTAACACTCCAAGACAAGTGTATGTAAGCAGCAGCACATTTAGTTCCACACAGGCCCCACAGTCTTGGAGTGTATGCTTCAGAGTGATATTCTTTTATTGAATTTAACTGGTTGTGCATTTAAAAAATTTTCTTTGAGAATATAAGATAATTTAAGACTAAAACAGTTTGAGGTAACTAATAATTCATATTGCAGTATTTCCCATAATTATGAAGCATTTTTTTAAGTTCAGGGGACTTTATATTTGGTAATATTTATCTAATCAGGTAGATTTTTTAGAAACTTAATTTTTCTTTCAGCTCTATAGTTAACTTATATTAAAGAGGTATTCTTGTTCCAATAAACTTTCAGATCTGCCTTAAACATTTAAAATTCTCATCTGAGTCAGTGTTGCATTGCCAAGTGACATTACCAGGAATTTAGTGCTAATTGAATGAATAGCATTAACCTCCAAATTCCAGTGAAGCAGAATATTTAAAGTACACTGCTATATTCTTAGTGTCCAAGGCTTGTTTTACCTGGACATATCTTGGCCAGATGAATGTTTAGTTGGTATAACTCACAAGAAATTCCATGTTATGCACTTAGTATCACTGTCTAGTTAATTAAATAATGACATGTCACTGAATTGCTCTTCTCAGTATCCTTTGCTTTGTCCTTTCTGCCTTACCTCTTAGCCTCCTGAGGAGGGTCCCAAGTCTCACCACTATTTCCTTCACTGCCTACAGGCACTTCCTTAATGGTTTAGTCTTCTCTCATGGCTTTATCTGTTGTCTTTAAGCAAATGAATCCCAAATTATACAGCCCAGACATCTCTCCTAAATTCCATACTACTTTATCAGACTGCCTATTTGATATTGAGAATTAAATTTCAAATAGACACTTCATTAACATTTGTAAAACTGAATTTCTGCTCTTTTCTCCAAATCGACTTCACCTGCAGCCTTTCCCGGCTCAATGATGGCATCTCCATTCTTAAGGTTGCTCAGACCAAGATCACTGGAGTCATCCTTTATTCTTCTCTTCCTCTTATACCCCATATTGCACCTGTTAGGACATCTTGGTAGTTCTGCCTTCTTCAAACTGGACCTGCAGCTGACTGAGTGATTGTTCTTACAAAGTGAAAAATAATAATAAGGCTTTAGAGAAGTTAGGAGAAGTTAGAATAATAAGGCTTTAGAGAAGTCCACATAGTTAGTAAGTGATTAAAGTCAGAATTCAAATATGTATTTTCTGACTGACCACAAATAATATGATCTCTTCATCATACTAGTGCTTCTCTAAAGTAATTGTTGTAATTGCCCTTTTGTTTATACAATTCAGAAATACGATCTGACCCACTATATGACTGGGCCTTTATAAATAGTATGTGTTAATTCATTCAGGCCCTTTAGGAATTCTCTAGGCACACAATAGTTATTTCATAGATACTTGCCAACTCAGTTGAACTGCCTGGTGCTCATCTGCTCTTGTATTTTGCTCTGGGGGAAGAACTGTGTTTTCAATTGAAAGATATAATTGGGTACGTGGGTGTTGGGTGGGGTAAAAAAGGGGGGTATTAATTATATAAGATGCTCAAGAAGGTATTTTAGAAAGCTCTTTTTTCAAAGGTTTTCTTGGTATAATATGTGAATTTAGAGTATGTATTAGCTCTTGCTACCTTACGTATAAATGCTTTACTATTTGCTGGAGTTTTCAATGATATGCAGTAATCAATCTTGTTGCCAGTCATTAAAACTTAGATTGTAGGAGCATTATTTAGATAATTTAGAATTTTCTCTCAAGGGCCTTTGTATCAGAGGGACACTTTATAACTTTTAAATTCACTAAATTCCTAGCTCCTTTAATAGATTATAATGGCTAAAAGGCAAAAAGGTTGAGATCTTGTCAGAGAGATATCAGAAAAGAAGTTTCAGTGTTGATTAAATTCTTGAAACACTGCTTTACTGATAAACTGTATTTTAATAGAAGTTATTCCATGCTTATGTAATTGAATGTAACAGAAATCAAGTATGTTACACTGAATTTTGCTAGGGTTCAGTGATATAATTGAAAGAAGCCAATATTAAGCTTTAGGGAGCTGTCCATTATGTGTATCTGTGTAACATGTTTGGAAAGCCAATCATTGTTTTTCTTCTTTTTATGTGCATGTAGAACATTTATCTATGAAACAGATTTTAGGTAAAAAGCACTTCGGATTATTTAAAAAAAAAGTCCAACTTTTTTTCTCTTCTAAACTTACAATTTAAAGTTTACTTGCTTTGTTATTCCATCAATTTGTATTTTTTATTTGGAGGGTGAAATTTGATAAATACTTAATTCATGGGCAGTTTCCACATATTAGCTTCTATATATCTGTCTGTCCATCTAGCTACTTACCGACCTTTGCTCTGGTGGAAATATTTAGCACGGAATCACTTAGAATATTCTTATAGGCTTAGGAAATGTCTCTTAAAGCAGTAAGATGATATTTGAGACATTGAAAAAACCTATGTCTATAATTACTTCCTATGGCAATTGACTGAGATATAGACGTATGGCAAATGCAGCTGTAACGGCATATATTTAGAAAGGAAACTCAATTTGCTACTTCTAAAAAAAGTCTGTTGGCCAACAAACCTAAAATAAAAGTTCAAAAATGGGATATTTTATTTCTGGAAAGTATGGTAGTTCTGTTACCAGTTGCAATGACAGATAGCTGTGCATCTTTATACTGTGAAATAGACTGTGATCAACTGTATTGCTGTCTTTTCTGTTTCATAGTGTATGCCAATTAAAGGCCTAGGATTCGTGCTTGGAGCCTATCAGTGCATTTGCAAAGCGGGATTCTATCATCCTCGAGTCTTCTCAGTGAACAACTTTCAGAGTAAGTGCTGTTTGCTTCTGTGCATATGTGTGAATACATCTAATATCTACCATAATTAATTACTCAGATTTTCTATTAACCTTGTGGAGCAAGATGATTACCTTCCCACTGGTTTGGCATTGTTTCATCACTTAAGGAGTGTTTTGCTTCAGTTTGTCATCTCCAGTCCTCTGGATTACCACCAGAAAATGTGTTTGCTTTAGGCATATTTTCATTTTCAATGCATTTTAAATGCCTGAAAATATTGTAGCTACTCAAATAAGACCAATTGGGATTCACTTATTGAGAGCTGTTGCATAAAATTCCTAAAACTAATATTGCTAGTTTGCTTATTTATTTATCAATCTGTTCATATGTTAGGTCTCTACACTACATGAAGAATTTCCACAAAGTTAATATCTTAAAGCAACACAGTCTTATTATCACACAGTTTTAACTGGTTAGCTTTTCAGTCAGAGGTTAGCTAGTTCCTCTGCACAGGCTCTCACTGGGCCAAAATCAGGGTGTCGCCTGCGATGTGCTCAGATCTGAGGCTCAGGGTCTTCTTCCAGGTTCATTCAGGTCATTGGCAGAATTTGGTTCCTTGCAACTGTATATGTATGAGGTCCCCTAGATGCCAACCTGGGCTTAACCTTCAGCACCTAGAAGTCTCCTCAAGGCCTAGTCATGTGACCCTCTCAGCTTTGCGCCTTACTTTTCAAGGCTACCAAGAAAATTTTCCCAGTCTGTTCAAGATGGAGTCTCCTGTAATGTAATCGTGGAAGTGACTATCCTATCACTTTGCCATGTAATGTAACCTAATCGAAGGAAAGGCTACCCCGTTATATTTATAGGTCTACCCACACTCAAGGAGAGGTGATTATACAGGGCAGATACAGGCTATCTCATTTTATTGTACTTTGCTTTAGTGCACAGCAAACATATTATACTTTTCTTTTCTTTTCTTTTTTTAACAAATTAAAGGTTTGTGGCAACCCTGTGTTATCAGATGATGATTAGCACTTTTTCACAATAAAATATTTTTTAATTGAGGTACGTACATTATTTTCTTTAAACATAATGCTCTTGGGCACTTAATCGACTATATGCTGTATGCATAACTTTTATATGCACTAGGAAATCAAGACATTTGTGTGACTTGTTTTATTGTGGTTTTACTTTGTTGCAGTGGTCTGGAACCAAACCCACAATATCTCTGTGGTGAGCAGGTACTCCAGAATCAAAACTTGCTCACTTGATTATTTTTATCTTACTCCAGAAGATGTCACTGTTACAATTTGAATATTGACTTTTTACTCTATCTCTAGAGAATTCAATGTTGCTATATTGGCTTGTAGCCAACTGTTGGCTATAATAATTAAGAAGGAGTGTAGTGGTGAGAGGAGGAGTCTTCTGGGAAGTTAGGGTTGGGGGTTGCTAAGACTGAGGCACAGGTGTCATTTAGATAGTCAGCCATAAATCCTTGCCTGCAGGACTGTTGGCCTGTGTAGGAATTTGCATCTCTCCTAGGCATAGTTCAAAGGATACATTGAGATTCAGACCTGAGTGTCTTTCTCTGGCAAACTTGGTAGACAATTACAGATTTTTATTCCTGGTTTTCTCTTGGAGAGCAGTGTTCTTCACCTTGAGACTGTTTATACTTAACTTCTAGGTTCTGGAGGTGAGTAACATTTTGCTCTCTCCTCAGTCATGTAATTCCCAGAGTCCAGCCCTTGTTCTGAGAAGTAGGTGTTGTAGGCATAATTTCAAGATGGACTCCAAGATTCTGTTCCCATGTGTGCTTACAGTCCCTCACCTTGCGTGTGGGTGGGGCCTGTGAGTATAAAATGAGGTACTCACTCCCTTGCTAGGCTATGTTATAGCCTAAAATCAAAGGTGATGTTACAGTCACTCAAGTGATTACATTGCATTAAATAAGACTCCTTCCCATAGTAGCAGATTGGAGAGAGAGTCTAGTACCAGCTGTGAAGAAGTAAATTAGCTTGTTGTAAGAGGGCCATGTCGCTATGACCTGAGTGGCCCCTAAGAGCTAAGGGCAGCCAGCAAGAGTACAGGGACCTCGGTCCTATAAATGCAAGGATCTATAAATTCTTCCAATAGCCTGAATACATTTGAAAGAGGACCCAGATGAGAATATAGCCTGGTCACACCCTTGGTTTCCAT